TTTGAGTATGCACATGATTACCCGTTCCCTACGGCACAAATGCCAAATTCTTCTACTATACTTGCATTTCGCGCGTCAGAGATTCCAAATTCCCGGATGGCAGGTAAAGTAATCTGATCAACATCACACTTGCGTGAAAGCCAGTTGCAAGTCAAAACAGGTAACCAAACCAGGTGGCTAATGATCCTTCTGAAGTTGTAGGGTAGCTGATCGGTGCCCAAGTGCCCACCGCAGAGCTGGAGAAACCTTGGTAAGACACCTGTATCAATCAGGATTTCAGCTTCCAATGTTAGGAATCAAAATATAAATTATACCTGCCACCACACCTGTATGGAAGCTCTCTGGCATTCGCTTGGCTTCCAAGACTGCAAGCCAGCAAGCTGCTTCCCAGATCAGAGTCACGTGACCTGGGCTGGCCTGGGTTGACCTGTTGAAGCTCTCAGCAAGGTTGGACGAGGCCGTAAATTGGCTAGTAAGGCAGAAGCAAAGCTCGGGGCTCTAAGTTAAAAGGCTGGAAAGTCAAGAAAGGAGAGGAGAGGAGAGGAGAGGAGAGGAGAGGAGAGGTTGGTCACAGCAAACGCCGGGTTGAGTTCTTGCCCCGGGGAATGCAAGAGTCTGTTAGGAACTGAGGTCAACCTTTACTCACTGTCAACCTCGCCACTGCAACGGTTGGGAGGAAAATTGGACAGGGAGGCGAGAGGGACTTTCTTTCTTTCTCTGTCTCCTCTCTCTCTCTCTCTCTCTCTTTCTCTCTCTCCTTCTCTCTCTCCTTCTCACTCTCTCTTTCTCTCCTTCTCTCTCCCTCCCTCTCTCTCACTTTCTCTCCCGTTCTCTTTCTCTCTCTCTTTCTCTCTCTCTTTCTTTCTTTCTCTCTCTCTTTCGCTCCCTCCCCCCCTTTCTCTTTCTTTCTCTCTCTCTTTCTCTCTCTCTCCCTCCCTCTCTCTTTCTCTCCCTCTCTTTTCTTCTCTTTCTCTTTCTTTCTCTCTCTCTCTTTCTCTCTCCCCCCCTCTCTCTTTCCCTCCCTCTCTCTCCCTCCCTCCCTCTTTCTCTCTCTCTCTTAAAACCAAGTTCCCAAACTGATTTGGCTCCATCTTTTCTTTTAACCTTAAAGTCATCATAACAACAACCCATTGTTATGTTGTTGTTCTACTCACAGGAGAAGCTTTTTCGTTCTGAACGTGTGGTTAGCTTGGAGGATACATCTTGGGAAATATGTATATATCATCTCAGTACCCTTTAGAATCATGCCTGAACATTAATCCCAATTAGATTCAGCCTGGAAATAAGTAGGGATTTTCTGACAGGGAGAACCATCCACCAATGGAACAGAAGTTGCCTTCAGAAGTTGTGGGAGCTTCATCACTGGAAGCTTTCAAGAAGAGACATGGACTGTCATTTTAATAGAATATATTAATATTGTCAGACAGTTAGTGGGACTATCTGGCACGTTTTGTGGTAACAGAATAATAGAGTAACAGAATTGGAAGGAGGAGGAGGACTGTGAGGTCCTTGGTGCTCTCTGAGATTGGTGATTTCTTGGAGATGTTTCATGACCCAACTAGGTAACATCATCAATGCTAGGGGGGCATATGGAGAGGAGGAGGAGGTAGAGGTGGTAGGAGAGGAGGGGGAGGGGGGGGGGGGGGGGGGGGGGGGGGAGGAGGAGGAGGAGGAGGAGGAGGAGGAGGAGGGCTTCTGGGGTCCTTGGTGCTCTCTGAGCTTGGTGGTTTTCTTGCAGACGTTTCATCACCCAACTAGGTAACATCATCAGTGCTAGAAAAGAGTGGGGTTTATACACTAACGGCCAGGGCAAGCATCACCATCCAAAATCCGAACTCAGGATCTGTCCTTTCCTCCAATTGGGAACACAACAAGCACATTTCGTTCATTCTGCTTAGTGCTATTTTTATTCCGCCCTGACTAATCTGATCAAGTGCGTACCTAGCTTATGATTAAAATCTCATTGTGCTCCCCCCCTCCAACCCAGATATTTCAGGCTGCTTGTTTTGAGGTGTAATTGACAAGCGCCAGTGGCTTGTATTATTATGATAGAGCTTATCAGCTGGAATTGTTTCGTTCAAAATCTATATCTCTTCAAGTGGTCTGTCAATATTCCATCCGGAAAACGAAAACAAGGAAAGGGGGAAAAAAAAAGGATGATGTTCCAACTAGTTAAATGTAGCACACAAGAAATGACCACATCAAGGATGAGGGTAGCAAATATATTATATAGGCATGCTTTGTAACAAAATGTCTGCAGCCTCAACTGATTTTCTTGAATGTGACAGAGAAAATAAAATAAAAGTATTTAGTCAATCTGGAAGGGATGAATGTTGTTGAATTCCTTGCTAATTGTAATTTCCTCTACAGAAAGGGGCCAGACTAAAACCATAGACATATTGCCAGTTCTTACTGGGAAAAACATCCTTTCGCAGAAATTAACATTTCTTAGAGAAAAAGTTTGCAATATGATATGTTAGATATAGCTATAGGGCTAAAGAACTGGTGTATCCTAATATAAATACATCATCAATGCATAGAAGACAGTATATTTTATACGTGGGGAAATCTAGCTAAAAACTACAAAGGGAAAAATAAGAAAATCTCTATGTTAAAGTGCTTCAGGGGGAAAAGGGACAAGGGGCTTTAAAAGAAGGAAGGGACAAAGGGAGGGAGGGTGGGGAAGGAAGGAAGGAAGGAAAAGGAAGGAATGGAGGAACAATGAAGGGAGGGAGGAACGAAGGAGGGAGAGAGGGAAGGGAGGGAGGAAGTTAAAGGGAGGGAGGGAAGCACCTAAACTAGGAATATATTATCTCCAGTGCTTAATTTAAAAGAAAAAAAAATACAAATGAAGGAGAGAGAAAAAAACAGGTATGGGAATTATATAAATTCCTTCCATGCCATCCTGACGGATCATTTTTATTTTTTTCCAACAGCGAATACATGAGAGATGCTTGCTGGCGTATCATCTCATCCAGGACAGATTATTCTGCCTGGATGCCTTTCCAAAATAAACCCAGATTAGAAGAAACGGTGTCAAAAAAAAAACCCACCCAGAAGAGGAAACTATGATCCGCACTCTTTCT